GTTTTAACTACTATTTTTTCATTCATTTTCACCCGTGCATCGCACGGGCTTCTCCACTAGTATATAAATAAAAAAACCATAAAAGTTGCATCTCAAAAAATAGTAAAAATCATAAAAGATGAAATATAAATATTTTAAGGAAGGTTGTTAGTATAATATTAAAAATAAATTATTAAAAAAGAAAATATAATAATTTAAATAAAGAAAAACAAAAAATGAAAGTATTTTTCAACTATTTTCATCACATATACATGCTTTTTTATAAAAAATAAATAATATAAAAATTTTATAAAAATATAAATAACTAATTGGATCGTTTTGAATTGGATAGGGATGATCCGAATTTGATTCAGTTTTTAATCGGATCCGATCCAAAAATCCGTAATGAAGATATCCAAATCTAATAAAATAGGATCAGTCTTTGGATAAGATAGAATCATGATCCCTTATTAAATGGGATGTACACTGAAACAAAGCTTTTTCCAATAAAAATGAAGGCTAACTGTTAACATATTGACTATCAACCAAAGTTGCACCCTTTAATTTTTACCTTCATCATTTTTGGATGTTCCAATGTTTGATCTCTCATAAATGTGAAACTATAAAGTGGGTTATACCCAACACAACCCAATCACTATAAAGTGGACCATGCTGGTATAGGTTTGTAGCCCATCACTAAACAGGTATATATATATATATATAAACTATTTTATTCAAATTATATTGTATTTTTTTTTATTTTCATGTATAAACAATTGTATACATCACATTTCATAAGAATAAAATTTTAAGATTTTTTTGAATTTCTTGTCTATTTTGTTAATTTATATAACTGCTCATTATTTTTTCAAAATTTTAATAAAAAATTAAATCATGCCTCTCACACCTCGTCATATGGTTGAGCCCGATTGGGCTTGTGCTACAGGCCTAATCTTTGAAGAGTTTTAGGCCAGGTAGGGCATGACCCACCTAGAACCACATGTTGGCACGACACGACCTGTTAAAGCATAGACAACCCACAAAACCGTGTCGTGTCGACACAACACAATCCACTATATTTTCTGATAAAGTATTTAAAAGTGCAAATTAGAGACAATACAGAAAAGGGCATGGAAAATAGTAGATAACACGCATACAAACAAATGGGAAAGTAATAGCAAAGAAATAATTATAAATTGTAAAACATCAATCGAATCACTTTTTAATGGCCTAAATCCAAGTTCTTCCCAAATTGGGGTCAAGTCGATATTTTCATCCCAAATTACATGTTATTTATTATACTTGATTTGCATTAATGAATTTAGTTATAGTTTTAACTGTTATTTTTTCATTCATTTTCACCCGTGCATCGCATGGGCTTCTCCATTAGTATATAAATAAAAAATCATAAAAGTTGCATCTCAAAAAATAATAAAAATCATAAAAGATGAAATAAAAATATTTTAAGGAAGGTTGCTATAATATTAAAAATAAAGAACGAAAAAAATATAAACAAAAATAATAAAATTGTTAAATTAATTAGATTAAAGAGTATTAAAAATTTAAAATTAATTAATTGATCTAGGTTCACTTGAGTATAATTTAAAAATTAAAAATTATTTATGTTATATGAATATAAATTAATTAATTAATCTAACTTATATTCAAAATATCACAACAGTGCTCCATTCCTACTCATTTTGCTTTTAGTATATATACATTCATACATACATACATATATATATATATATATATATATATATATATACATACAATTAATTGGCATGTATACTTGGATGATGATTCTAATATTTTGCAAGTAATTAAGCTGGGGTCATTGGACAAATCTGCCACAAATATGGATGGCCAAGCAAATTAAAGGTATTGCTTTTCTAAAATTGAAATGAAAAATCCAAATTAAAAGAAAAGAAAAACCAAAATTTCAATGTATTGTTTATCTATATGTATTTGCTTGATATATGATGTTATTCTATATTCACAATATTATAACTTAATTACCACTCTTAATACGTCTTGTATTTGAAAGGTCTTTGTGTGTTCAAAATCTAGTGTTCTTACCTATTTTATTAATTTCAGCCAATTATTTCTTAAAAATACAAGATAATTTTAGGTTGTACGTATTTGGATAAGATTTAATTTGTGTTCTTTTAAGCCCCACCCCCTAAAGCACAAACTCCCAACTTTAGGCTTTATAGTTTAGGCCCAATTTTTTTTGACTTTAGATTATGTTTTTAAAAAATACAAATAGCTTAAAACACTTTTTGTCACATTGTTATTTATCATAGCCGAAAACTCAAAAGCAAAAGCTTAGCCAAACATAACCTTAATGATTAGTTAACTTTTAAATGAAATTTATTTTGACTTGAATTCATAGTTTATTGTAGACAATTAATACAAAATCTTTCTATAACTGAAATTTACACATCATAGATCCAATGTAGGAGATCTACACTAAACCCAACTGAATTAGATACCTTTAAGCATCAAATAAATGGGCCATTTTCCAAAGAATATCATCCTTGTTTTCTTGACCATTAACCGATTAATTTATAGAATTGAATTGATTATTTTGTCCATAAACCATTAGTACACGGATCAATGTATTAATAGATTTTATGATATCATTGGTAGCAGTTCAAATATACTAGTCAGCTATCTATATTCTATAATGCATGCTCTTATTATTAATCTCTCTCTATCTCTTTTCGGATGGGGCTTGGGGGTCATTTTCATATAATGTCAGCTTTGTTTGTGTCCACAAAAATGCTGGTTAGGTATAATATTCGGATTTGCTCCTTGTATATTGTAAAATGATATGTAGATATGTTTTGTGGTTCCCGACTATTGAAATACACACAGGCTGTGTTTGGTTCGAAAGAAGAAGGTAGGGAAAGGAAGGAAAATAATAATTATTTTTTTTATGTTTTCTTTCAAATCAACTAAATGATTTAGGCCATATTTGGGAGTGTTTAAAAATAAGTGTTTATTTGAGTCATTAATCACTTATTAATATTTGTGAAATAAGCCCGACATAAATGCTTATTTTAAAATTAAGAGCTTATTTTTAAGTCCAAAATTTCAGCTTTTTTTAAGTGCTTATACAATAAACACTTATTCAATTTTTTTCTTCCAAAATTATCCCTAATTGAATTTTAAAATACCACTTATAAAATTATTACTACTTGAATTTTATAAAAGGACTTTTATGAAAACACCTTTACAAAAATATTATTATGAAAGCACCTTTATAAAAATACTTTTAAGAAAGTACTTTTATGAAAGCATTTCTATAAAAACACTTTTATGAAAGCACTTTTACGAAAATACTTTTATAAAAGCACTTTTACGAAAGTATACTTTCACAAAAGTGCTTTTGTAAGGGTACTTTCTTAAAACAACTATCGTAAAAGTGATTTCATAAAAGTACTTTCATAAAAGTGTTTTTATAAAAATATTTTCATAAAAGTATTTTTATAAAAGTAATTTAATAAAAGTGCTTTCATTGTCTTTTAATAAAAGTGATTATTCGAATAAGCACTTATTCAATAAATACTTCTTTTTAACTTAAGCACTCCCAAACATGACTTTATCTCTTTGTCTTTTAATGGATAAAATAATTAGATAGTAAAATGTTTAAGGGTGTAATGCTTTATCCAATTAGTGAGTAAGGAGCTCACAGTCATTTCATGGGTCGATGGTGATAATAATTATAATATTCAGTAACAAAATAAATTAGGGTGGATAAGTCCGAGCCATTTATGTGATTATGTCAGATTTGAAAATTCTTCTTTTTTTTTTTTGAAATCGCTCATAAGCATCATATTTCATTCAATCAAGAAAATGATACAAAAAAAAGGCCAATGACACCAATCAAAAAATCCAGGAACAATTTCTCAAGAGAACAAAATAAGACAATGGATGGAGGAGGATCAAAAGATCTTTTGCAAACGAGAAAACGGTGAGGTCAAATCACCAATAGAAGAAAACAAACACATCTACAATCCACCAATCCGTCATAGAATGCGAATGAAGCTCACAGAGGAGGAATCTAAAAGACTGCCATCACCAGAAACTCACTATGAACAGCATCAACTGGAGATCCGCGAACGAGATTCACCATGAACAACAACTGTTGGAAAACCGTGAACTGATAGAGGAGGAAACCAAGAGATTGCCTTCGCCTGCAGATAACAAGCTTGAGTGAGAACTTCGAACAAAATCAAATCACGAATAAAGCAAACAAAACATTGAGAAAACTCAAAAGAAAAACCTCAAGAAAATTTGAGAGGGAGGCTCTTTCAAAATAGAGAAAGAGGGAAGAGGGAGAAAAACCAGAAGGAGAAAGGTGAAGGAAAACTCGGATGGGCGACTCCCTAGAGGGGATCTCGAAGGGAGCCGCCCCCAACGAAATCCCTTTGAGAGCGCCTCTAACAACTAAACCCTAGCCTTAAACTTTACAAATTTGTATTATTTTCGATGGCTCCATGATTTGAAAATTTATTTAGTCATTAATAGGATCAGATAACAAAATTAACGATTTATCGAATTGAATTCGGACATTGCTTCATCCAATCCATCAATACTCGATATGATCCTGTAGTATATACATATGTAAAAATAAAATTCTTTTAGTATTAGAAATCTTTAAAATTATGCTAGATTTGGGATTTATATAAAATTATTTTCTTATTTATAATATATTTTTTTGTTTATGTTTATTTTTAGGCTTGTTTACAACTGGACAGGACTTGGGACATCAAACTGGTCTGGTCTTCTCTTGGTCTTTTGTCCCTAACCCTAATATCTCTGCTTTCGCACGTGCCAGTTCTTCAAAGTTCAGAAGTCCGAAGGGACCGGGCGTTACAGAGAAGAACTGAAGAATAAGAAGAAGACTAGAATTATTAGAAAAGAAAATGAACCGTATGTTATTGTGATGTCATAAAGGAGACAAATAAACGGCACGCACTCACTAGGGGAGTTTAACTCATCACTACATCAGTTAAGAGTTAGTGGCTTTAGTGCCCCACCCCCCCACAGACATTATTGTCTTTGCCCTGCCTTGTTTGTAAAGCATGAAATCAAAGGATTCCAAAGGAAACCCATCACTTGATCTGTCGAATTTCAGCTTTTAATCTCTCTTTTAAGCTCTACCATTGTCTCATTTTCAGGACTCTGAGGGAGACAAAAGGCTTTTTCTTGCTCCTTCTTCTGTGTTCTCAGAGATGGATAAAAATAACAAAGACGTCATACGCTTGGAGCGTGAATCGGTTATTCCAGTTTTGAAACCGAAGCTTATCATGACCTTGGCTAATCTTATAGGTACTGAATAGAAGCTTCGTTTCATTCGGTTTGCGATATTCGTAGTGATCTCTTCTGGTTCTGCTTCTGTAACTTCTATGCTGCGCTTTCCTTTGATGTTGTCATGTGGATAGTTGTGGTTTTCTTAAATTTGAAATGTGTCCTTGCAGTTTTCAGCGAGTGGCTGTGTTTTATACTTTTATCTGCTAAAGTTTGAAATGGGTCTCTTTGAGTTGATTTATATATGATAATTGTGTTCGCTATTCATACTTTGAAGTTCAGTGTTATTATGACACTGGCTAATGCTGTAGGTACTGAATTGAAGCCGCATTTCGTTTGGTTTACGATTTTTCTCTGTATCTCCCATTTTTTTGTTGTTTTTGCCATGTCGGTAGTCGTGATTTTCTTAAATTTGAAATGGGTTGTTGTGGTTTTTTGATGTTTTCCCGTGCTTGATTTGCTCAAAATTGAAACGGGTCTCTTCGAAAATCTATGGGTCCTGTTTGGTTCATATTTCTGAATGAATGTTGTTCAGGAGTATTATTACCGTTCCATCTTCTAATGGAACAATTCAGCATAATAACCCTGTCGAGAAGATGCGAGAAATTCTTGAAGTCCCACTCTTCAATTATTATTTTTTTTAAGTAATGGATTTTGTTTGATCTTTTGCTATTTTCTACTTCTACTTGCTTCTTTTTGTGTCTCTGTATATGAATGTGCTCAGATTCAAAATATCCTTTTAGTCAAAATTTTATTAGGTGTGTACTGTGGCATTGATTGGATTCTCAATGTGTATTTTATTCTGTTTTCTTGCAGAACATAATTCAGATCGTGCTGAATTCCTAAAGCTCTGCAAGAGAGTTGAATACACAATCCGAGCTTGGTATCTCCTACAATTTGAGGATCTGATGGTACAACCATTTCTTCCTTGGTCTTATTTACATAAACAAAACTAAGTTTTCTTATGGTTGTACTTCTGAATAATAGTGTTTCTATGTTGGATACTTTCTTGCTTGATGTTCCTGTTTCCACTGATCATTTGTTTTTCCTTTGTAGCAATTGTACTCCCTCTTTGACCCTGTTCACGGGGCTCAGAAATTGGAGCAACAGCATTTATCTTCAGAAGAAATTGATGTTCTTGAGCAGAATTTCCTGGCCTATTTATTCCAGGTCAAATGTCCAGTGCATATTCTTTAATTTCTTTATATTAATATGCCCTGATATGTCCTTGATAGCAAAGCAACAAGTTAATTTATTTCATGAAAATGTTGTCAAACAAAGCTAACAGTCTTAAGCTGATGTCAACATATTAAATTTCATGTTTGCAACTATTATTTGTGCTGTTAATAGTTTATATATTTGGGGGGATCATCATTTAATATAAATGCATTATTTTGGTGTTTGATATAAAACAATTTCAAGGGCATACCTTTGAATAACGGACTCAGCTGTATGGACGTGTTAGCAGATTGGTGTTTAGGGATCTTTGAGTATATTCATGTATTAAGTCAGATTATAGGAAGACCTAACTCCTGTCGTGGCTTGCAATCATTTGTTCATGATTCTGAGCTTCTTCTCTTCTCTTTTATATCTGCCTTGTCTTATCGTTTCTCCTGATGTGTATCTTTGAATTATTTATAAAATTTTACTTTTTTCTGGTAGAAGCTTCAGTTTGATCTACCTCTACCTCTTTAAATTCTTTGTGCCAACTTCTAATCCCCCTCCTGATGTGGCCACACACTTGTTTCTACTACTCACATCTGGTGCTGTAAAACTTGCAGCTTACAATTGAGGCTCATCTGGCTTGTTGCTAAGTTTTGACGAATTAACCTTGAAGTTGATGTTGAATAACTGATCTACCATGTTGTATGTTGTGCTTATGATGTTTAGAGTTCAAACATTTTAGCCTATGTAGGACTTGAACTTAAAAGCTATAATGTTTGTGTTAATAGCACAATACTTTGACTGGTTGATGTAATGAGATTTTTAAAATACTCTATTTCTTTCAGAATTTAGATTTTTATATTCTTGTGTCTTAAGTTCTCTTTTGATTTTTTTTTTTCAAAAGTGGCACCTCAGTTTGTTAAGACACATACCTTGCCTTGTGCTTCAGGCTCTAAGAACCTAATTGGCTTCTCACATTAAAACACTGGTCATATCTCCATTTTATACAAATTATGTACTATTAATAAAACTATAAATTTGCATAGAGAGGAATATGGAAAATGTGGCTTTCTCATTCTATTAACTAAAGGGGCATATTCTAGAAACCTCCAAAAGGGCCATTTTTGGTCCTGGCTATTTGGGGTTATGGGAGGTGCAGGCTGGATATGGACCTAACCTCTGGCATTTTTTGAACACAACAAAGTGGCTATTCTCAGACTCAAATCCACATTCTCATAGTTTGCCTGAAACTTTACTATTTCAGCAAGCAATGGTACATCAGATTTCTTTTTTTAAATATCAATTTAGCAACTAGAACCAAGTGGCATATCTGAAACTGCTCCATGACAAGATGGTCAGACTGTTTGACATGACCTGGTCCCAAAACTGGGTTTCAAAATGGATGGTTCTCTAAATTGTTGACTTTTTCAAAGCATTCAAAACAACCATACTAAAGGGTTTTATATTAGATACTATTTATTTAGGCTCTTCAGTCCCATGCCCAAATAAAGGAGGAGGGTTTTGTCAGGTTGGCAGCCAGCATACAAACCTTTAGCAATCCAATAAGAATATGGATCTTCAGTCAATTTTTCTTGACAGAGCAAAAGGGAAACAGAAAATTTCATTAGGCATTTTTCCTTATGCAAATGGAGAAATTTTTGGGGGAACGTAATTTTTGGTTTCATTAGGCATTTTGCATGTCCTACCATCTGTCCTACTGTCTAGATGTTACTGTTTATGATTAGGTCATTAGGTAATAGCTGTGCCTTCCAGTACCTCAGGTTGTTGGCCAGAGTCCTAGTCCTATTCTCCACTCACTGCCAAGTTATTCAAGTTCCATATTCGTGGGAGGACCCTTGTGTTGTTTCAAATGCACCTATCCTTCCATTAGCTCTTGGGTTTCCTTCAGAAACCTTGTACTGTTAAATGTGAAACAATTTTGAGAGGTGATTTATTCATATGACCAAATAGAATTAGAAATAACTGCATTAGGAATGGCATAGGGGTAGCCCAAGTAGGCGACAAGAAGAAGAAAAGTCAACTGAAATGGTTTAACAATATACATAGACAAGTACAACCAATTATTGCACTAGTTAGGAGTGTCTTAGTGCAAGTAGAAGGCTCTAAAAGAGCAAGGGGAGGCCAAAGAAGACATACACTGAACTCTGAAGTAATAAAATCTGATCTAAGGACTTGATAGAAGATATGGTTCGTGATAGAGTGAAATGGCTGGGTAGAATTTGTGTAGCCAACGCTAAATAGTTGAAAGTATGGCTTTGTTGAGTTGAAAGTATTCCACCAATCTGATATGCAATGCTCCTGTCTTTTCTTGGATTGAAATGCGTTTTTATTTTTATTTTTTATGTTTTTACCTGAGTTTTACCTTTCAGTTATTGCTTATCCAAAGTTGGGTCAAGACTTGTTTCTCATCAGAGCAAAATCATCACACCGATAAAATATTGGGATTTTCTTTTGTGTCTCATACTTATGTGATGAACAGATGATATTGAAGCTTGGTTACTTAGTAACACTTATTTAGACATTCACAACAAAATTATCTATTGAAAGAAATAGAAAATACATCAAACATATTTAATTAAAAATAGGTATTTTAATAACAAAGATGAAATCTGAGTTCCTAAATTAAGACATAATTTAGTAACAACATCTAATAGTATTTAAAGCTTGATTTTTATATTTTAGATGGGTTACAATTAAAAAATTCTAGCAGATTGTTATGCGGTTCACCACCATAGTTGAAATTTGAAGTATTTTTTGATTTTAAGTCACTTCTGAAATTCTTGGTTCATTCTCAGTATGAGGGGCTTAACATTTTCATCCTCATAGAATGTGGTCAAAATGTGTCACAGAATTCAAACTTTCTTATTTCTTTCTTAGTGAGTTCAGATACCTGGATAAATCAAATCGGTTAGGGAAATAAGTTGCACCAACACTCTAAGGTAGAAAAAAAATCCAAATTGGAATAAAAAAAATTGAAGGGAAAAGGAAATTTCATCTGGTCAAGTGGACTGGAAATGGATCTGTTGTCTCATGTTTCTTTGAGTTATGATTTTTAGAAAGATGGAGTTCTTTAAATTTTTTTATGCAGAAGGATTTCTTCTTTAATTTTTTTGAGCTTATTCTTTTAAAGCCTGCAATACTTTGAATTTTATTTTCTGTTTCTATTTGATCTTTTCAGGTAATGGATAAGAGCAATTTCAAAATAACAACTGATGAGGAGATTGATGTTGCTCTCTTTGGGCAATATCTCTTAAACCTTCCTATCACCGTGGATGAATCAAAGGTTTAGCTTCCTTTACTATACATCTCTATCGATATGTGATTTTTCATGTGCCCTCAAGTTTACTAATTCAGATAGTTTGTTTTCTGGGATGCAGCTTGATAAGAATCTCTTGAAACGGTATTTCTCTGAGCATCGTCATGAAAACCTTCCAGATTTTGCAGACAAGGTATTTCTCAATTCTAACTGTACAAATGGGGTGCTTATGTGTTTATTAATAATTAAATATTTTCGTTGCAATAAAGAGAGGAATATAAAAGCAAAGACTTAAAAAGGAGAACCTTCTACTTGAGGACAATCCGATAATCCACCCATTAACAACCTGGGAGTTTACCAAATTACCTCAACAACCACATGCTCAAAACCCATAAAGTATGCAGTTTGAGGCTCTTTAGGAGGTAAAAATAGACATATTCTAAGGTTCACAGAATGTTTATTGACATGGATCGGATGTTAATTGCAACTTTGATTGATAGATTAAGGTAGATTCCCCATAACTGAAAATTATACATTTTTACACACACATCTTGGATTATTTGCCACATATTTTTCCGTCTGTACAAAACCTAAAAAAGATTCTTCTTAGTAAGTCAAAGGTTTATGTGAAGAAATACTTTAGGAAAAATCCTTTGATGTAGAAAAGATGGTTTTTCTTCATCCTCTTAGTTACTGAGGTGATTTGCATTAGCATCTCTATGCATAAATCTGTACACAAAAATTTGCCCCATCCCGATCTCATCAAAGCAATCAAAATTGTCACCAACCTTGACAATAAGAGTGATCATAGTCCTGATAGAATTTAAAAGATGGGATGCTTATGATGTTCCCACTGATATGGCTTTGATTTCAGATATCTCGTAGGTGGATGTGGAGCACATCTTATAGTAGGTTATCCCTTTACATATATACAACTAAGAGTCTAAAACCTGCACTAGTTTCTAGATTACAGAATTTTCTAATTTCCAGTTTAGTACTTCATCTTGTTTTTGTGTTTTTAGGATATCAATTAATAATTAATTTGCGAAGACTACAAAGCAGAAAAAATATTTCTATCCACTTTATGTCTCAGGCCATATGTTTATTTCATTTGGTTCTATATTTCTTGATTAATGTTGATTATCTCTAATAGATGGGGATGTTTTGTTGATCAACATTGTAATAATAGAAATTCATGTCAATTGTGTTTTGGTGATCCCAGTAAACCAACTCAATCTGATATTTTCCAGTTAATTCCACACATGATGCCATGTTCCACTAGTTTATTATAATAAGAATTAAAAATGAATCCTAATTGTGTTAAAAATGAACTCTAAATTAATCTTATTATAAGCTCAAACACTTCTGAAACTATTCCTTTTGAAACTTTATATTCCATTATATATACCAATTACAATTAATCACATATGATCTTCTCCTAAAAGAAAAGAACCTATACTTGTATAAATAAAATATCCTAATGTACTTTAACAGGACATGATGCACTTCCAAAAAGATTTGGGAGTTGGTGGTGGAAAGAGTTGATAGGAAGTTGGCCTCCTGGAAGCCAAGATATTTGTCAAAGGGTGGAAAATGAATTCTGATCAAGAGTGTGCTTTCTTCTCTTCCTACTTATTTGTTATCCCTATTCCCCATCCCGGTCAGTGTTGAACCCGGATAGCCTTGCAAATTCATTCAGACCTAATTCTGGCTCCATTTTTTACATGAACATCAAAAGGAGAGATATATTTTGGTTGTAACCATCTGTCTAGTTAGGTCCACAGTGATGGGGTTGAGAGTGCTGCCACTGTTGACTAGCATTGATACTCTTCGGCTCATTAACAGGCCTTCCACCCTCATGGTTTTTTTTGGGGGGGGGGGTAATCCTCGCCACTTAAGGCCTGTAGGGAGATTTCTGGGCTCACCATACTCATTAAATCTTCCCATTCAGGTGTCTCAGGCATTTCAGCGCCCATTTGATCAATTTCAGTTTCATCAACTTGCAACATATAAGCACGTTGAACTTTACATTGATGCCTGGGCCCAAATTTCTTGTTGCAATTGTAGCATAAGCCATGTTTGCAACAGGCTTGTATCTCAGTCCATGTCAACTTCTTGTAGGGTACTAGGGCTTGGTTATGAAGGTAAACCATCTTTTCCTTGGGGGCCTAGTGGAGCTCCCACTAACTCGGGTGGGTCTTAAGTAATGGGCTGTGGAATGGGCCTAGAATTGCCTTGTTCTTTACATCGGCCAGTTCGAACCGTCGTTGGACTGGTTCGACTTTATATACTCTGCCAAGCCTTCTAAGTCGATTTAGTTGTTCTTCCTGTAGTCTGGCTATTCTGACAACAGCCATCACTGTGGTCGGTTGCATAACTTCCACCTTACACTCCTCTTTGAGTCCACTGATGAAACAGCCTAAGAGAGCCTTCTCCAGCCAACCTTGAACTCGAGTGGCCAACTTCTCAAACTCCTGCTGATAGTCCCTTGCAGAGCCTATCTGCTGAAGCTTAGACAAGGATTCATCGAAATCCTCCAATCTAGAGGGACCAAAATGAAGGCATAGGGCTTCTGTAAAATCTGCCCAAGAAGTCTGAGGGTAGGTTTGTTTGAACCATTGGTACCATCCGATAGCTTCTCCTTCCAAGTGGAAGGAAACAATCAGAACTCGTTGATGCCCAGGGTTTAATGGAATTCAAAGTACCTTTCTGCCCTGAAAATCCAACTCAGAGGATCGTCGCCAGTGAATGTTGGGAAGTCTAGTTGTGCTATGTAAGTTCTTCCTTTGCTGCCGTTGCAACCCTGTTCTCCGCCAACGCCTTCTTGTTCTCCTTCACGGTTGCTCCCTGTTGCTGCCTTGTCCAACTGCGCCACCACCATGGCAAGGGTATCCTTCAACTCTTGAATGTCACCTTAGACCTTATGTAGGCTGATTTCCATTTGATCTATCCTATCATCCATTGTTTCAGATTGAGTGCTCAGCATGTTTCCTTCTTCTGATGGCTCTGATACCAACTGTTGGACTCTGGCCAACACAGGCACCTCTTCTTGTTGCCCTTCTTTATTCATTTACTTATCATACTGTTACAAGATTGTTACAATTCTTAACAGCTCTAAGTGTTTCCAGTCAAGTTTTTATCTGCCAGTTGGCTCTTGCTGACATGGCTTTTCTTTCTTCGCCTAGAGCATGCCTTTTGTATTATAGGCTTGACCCCTCTGTTCTGGTCTCTAACAGTGCCCCACTTTTAGAAGGAACTTAAATGACTGGTAAATAGAACATTGGGTTGAATTCTTGCAATTCTTGAGCACTTTCAGGGTGGACAGATCAAGAAGTGACAAATGGATTTGGGCAGGGGAGAAATCTGGCCCCTTCACAGTAAAGTCTTTATAACAGATAGTGTTTTGAAGAGGGGGAGAGTTTCCCTGTGAACTGGGTTTGGAAATCAAAAGCTCCTCCCAAAGTGGCCTTCTTTATGTGGGTAACATTATTATTGGGGAAATGTTTAATGGCTGAAAATCTTGTGAAGAGAGGATTGCCGGTGGAGCCTAGTAGATGTGTTATGTGTGGTGAAGATTCAGAGGGAGTGGAACATCTATTCATAAATTGCAAGTTTGCAAAGGAGCTGTGGCTGAAGTCTTTGGGTTGAATTCCGGTAACTCCATAAARTTTTGGGAACAAACCTAGGTGGGGAGCGCTCCTCTAAAGGATCAGTTTCCGTCTTTGTACGCTCTTTCTGATTTGAAAAATGAGC